AGAGCACTCTGCGTTACTAGCACTAGAGCACTCTGCGGTACTTGGACCCGTGGCGCCTGCGGAACCAATTCCGCAAGGCACCAGAGCACTCTGCGCTATCCAACCCGATACCGCAGGGCGCGAGAGCACTCTGCGGGACTTCGACCAATCCCGCAGGGCACCAGAGCACTCTGCGCTATCGGCACAGGAGCACTTTGCGGTACTGGACATGCAGCGCCCGCGCGAGCCCTCTGCGCTACCAGAACCCCCACGGCACCAGAGCACTCTGCGCTACCAAAGCCCGCTGAGGGGTGCGATTTGCGCGCCATCCAGAACACCAACCATGCGTGCGCTGCGTCTCTTGGCTGGGACAAGATCCTTCACCCAAAGGAAGCAGCAGGCGGTGAAGCAGGCAAAGGAGGCTGCAGCCAAGGAGCTAACGAGGAGAGGAGACCGGCAGCCAATGCGTTGCTGCAAAGCCGTGGAAAAGGTGAAGCGCAAGGCTGCTGCTCAGATGGAGCGTCCTTTGGCGGGCAGCCTGTTTTGCGCATCCGCTTTTGCGCCCAAGACTTCGCTCATATATATAGGCTTTTTACCTCTGGACTAAGCAAGTGGATCAAAGGAACGCTCCAAACCGACATCTTGCAATGTAGCCTGATACCGCACAAAATTGTCAACAAGCCTCGACGGTAATCGTGTATTAATGCTCAAAGTCATGTGCACAGCCGAGTCGCCGTGGCAGCTGATAGACCCGTACCGCTGCTGCTCAACTTTAAGCTTAGAGACGCGCATCTCGCCGAGATGTACCGAGAGAGTGTTGTCCAGGTCATGCGCATGGGCGACATGCTTGAGCTCCGATCGTGAGAAGAATCCAAGCGTGATGTTGAGATGAGTGCTATGCTATTTGCTCTGCACCTACAACGAGAGCACCTTGAAGGCAGACCAGGCCAAATGCGTGATCTTGCTGGGCCTCGAGGTTATCTGTGTTGACAAGAGGCATTGACGCACAGTCGTGGAAGGCAATCCCCCTGCCTTCTTCGCATCAAGACCGGGTGTAGCATTTCGGGGCAAGGTGCCTCAAAAGTGTTGGACCAGACCCGACCAGAGCAAATATCGCAGAGGCTGAACACCGTGCAACTTTGCTTGCTTCAAAGACAAGAGGATCAGTATGCGCAGCTGCTCGATCGCGCAAGCTTTGACGGTCGACGTGGGCCTACGTTTACGTAGGTCGACATTGGGTCCATCAAGTAAAAGAGCACGGTACATATCCAAACATAGTATTGCTTTATCGGGCTGCTCATCTTCTCTCGCGCGCGCAGATTCATGCTAGCGACAGTCTTTGTGATCACTTTTGGAAGACGATCCCTCAAAGGCGAAAAAAGCATCTCGCGATACTTTGTTAATCCACCACTCTCCCTCTCTGCGCTGGCCGATGAAGCTTCGAAGCTGCCCTCTTGTGTCCGTCGTGTATGCTGCTTTGCATAGCCATTACGCGATCACCAAGCGATCGTCCGTACCGCGCTGTCAGTCACTTTGAATATGATGCATTGGGAAGAATCTCGACCTGTCGGCGACATGAGGCTTTTGGCAAGCGTCCCTCACTGTCATCGCGATGATAAGGTCTTTTGCGCCTGCGCCGAATCGAGCAAAGTGGGCAAATCAGGGAGGTACACACTCTTCCAACAGCTGTCTGGGCTGCATTCGTAGTTATTGCAGGTGGGAGGGTATAGCTGCATCGAGCTTGTCGCACCTTCTTTTTGTGACGGTGATGCAGAAATTTGAACCGAGTGATGGGTGCGCGCGCGCCCACATCTCGCGCATGTAGCTGCCGCGCATCGAGCGGTAGTGACACCAGCACGAATGACTGCATCTTGCACAGAGCAAAGCCTCTGGCAAGCAAAGGGTGATTGGAAATCTGCCTTTCACACCTTCCGAAAGATCTTCGACTGGTTGGGGAGCCCGACAAGCAACGCTCTCGCTTCTTTGTTATCTTATCTATCGTACAAGGACATCGGGTGAACCAGCCCAACGAAAACAACTTCGGCAAGCCTCTGATCACCCTGCGAGGAGCGACGGGCGGATCGCCAGGACGGGTGAATGGCAACGAAAGGAGGCCCGCATCGACTCCAGGTCTGTTGAGCACAGCGCTCGATCGCCACCTTATCTTGCATGCCAAGTTCTGTCTCGGACAAACCAGCTGGTTTGCCCTTCCTCCATTTATCCGAGCGCGCCCCATCAGCAGCCACGCGCGCCGCGCTGAGCACAGGCAAGCTTTCACCCGAGCGGCAACGTTTTTTCGGACCGGACTCTTTCTGCAGGGTGGTTATTCCAGACAAGCGCGGCAGTCGAGTTCTGACGCGGATCAGGAACAGGCACCAGAGCAGTAGGGAAGAGTCGGAGAAACCGATATGGCTGTTGGCACAAAATGGACTCCGCACCTGAGCAGATGCCACGCTGCTTAATTCTTCTCCATGCGTCGAGTGATGCACCGCACGTCGCCACTCCCTTCTCGTCCTTATCTCTTCTGGACGCGCGCGATAAGGATGACCGTGGGGGGGGGGGGGGGGGGGCTAATAAGAAGTGGCACCGACCAAAAGTAAAGCAATGTGACTTAGCCGTCCCACTCCCATTGCCCCATCATCCTCTTCTGTGCTGACACGCGATGGCTGTCCCAAACGTGCCCCCTTTCAAGGTCGCTGCCGTCCAGGCTGAGCCTGTCTGGCTCAATGCCAGGGCCACAGCTGAAAAGACGTGTACGCTGATCAAAGAAGCAGCATCCAGTGGCGCCAAGCTCGTCGCATTTCCCGAGCTCTGGATCCCAGGCTACCCATACTTCCTGTGGGTCAAGGACTTTGGATCGTCGATGCCTTTCAGCATGAAGTACGCTGCCAATGCGCTGACAGCCGACTCGCCCGAGATTCAGCTGATCAAGGATGCCTGTGCTGCCAATTCCATCTGGACGTCATTTGGTTTCGCCGAGAGAAGAAACGGATCAATGTACATGTCGAATTGCATCATCAACAGCGAGGTGAGTCTCCCTGTGTGGCGTTTCCCCTGCACTGCTCAGATCTGTTCTTTGAACTTTTCTCCAGGGAAGCATCGTCAATATCCGACGCAAGATCAAGCCGACTGGGCTCGAGAGGGTCTTGTTCGGCGAAGCGTCAGGTGACGCGCTCGACAACGTCGTCACCACTCCCTTTGGGCGCGTGGGCAATCTGCAGTGCTGGGAACACATCCAGCCCCTGCTCAAGTACCACACGTACTCGCTGCACGAACACATCCACGTCGCTTCGTGGCCTGGCTGCTTCCCGCTCAATGGAGGCGAGCCATACTCGATGACCAGCGGCGGTGTCAAGGCTCTGTCTTCCGTGTACGCCATCGAAGGTGGCTCTTTCACCGTCATGACGACGCAGCTGGTCACGGAGGAGCATGCCGAGGCAGTCGGTCTCGACTACCGACCCAATGGACCCTCCGATCACGATTTCTTCCTTCCGCCTGGTGGAGGCTGGTGAGTCCGAACATGGTGCGACCTCAGAGCCGGGCGAGACATTGCTGATCGAGATGCGGTCATCCCAACCTCATGCAGCGCTGCCATCTTTGCGCCGGATGGGCGCGAATTGACCGCACCTCTGCCATGCGCAGAGGAGGGCATCCTCTACGCCGAAATCGACTACTCGATGTCAAACGCGACCAAGCTGCTTGCTGATTGCGTCGGTCACTACAGTCGCCCCGATCTACTTCGGTGAGTCCATCGCGATTTGGCACTTCGACGAAGCTGTATGTTGATATTCTCCACCACCCACTCCCCCAGACTGTCGGTCAACCGTCAAGTGCAGAGCGTGCTTGCCTCGGGGGAGACGAAGCAGCCAGATGTGACCGAATTCACTGCACAAGCATGAAGCACAGCGTGCCCAATGCGCGCCTCGACTTTCAAAGGTGCAAGCGATCTCGCTGCAAACTCTCCCGTCGCGTGTTCATTCCACAGTCGCGTGTTCATTCCACAGCAGTCGCGGATTGTGACGTATGCCAGAACAGTGCAGAGTGTGACGCGACAGACCGAGTGCACTCCAGTCACTGATCTCTGCCACAGTTTGATCTGAAATCGTTTGCCACAGTTTGATTTGAAATCGTTTGCCAAAGTTTTTCAGAGCTTCTCTGTTGACCGACCGAAAGACATGGTCCAGCGGAAGCCCGGGAATGAGTGCGATTCCCTACGTGAAGCAAAAGGAAATGGGTGGACGCGCTGCGTTCGGTGATGAGACAATTGATTTGGAGGAGAAGCGCCTCGCTTCGTCGGCATTCAGCAATTGCGTCTGGAAATGGATTTCAAATGGGCATCATCTTTGAAGCGATGCCAGCGTGATGCTTGTCATGACTCGCACAAATTGCCCAAGCTGTGTAGGGCAGCACGCTCCCCATCACCACCTCTTCTTGCAAGAATGAATGCGTTTGATCGAGTTCATAGAGGAAAGCTTGAGCCCGCAGCCCCTGCGAAGTATCGCAATGAAAGGAGTCCTGCTATCCGTGATGGGACCGCGTGCGCGCAGGTGCAGTGTGTTTGAATTTCCTTGTTCAAGGCCTTTGTCGGAGCCCGAAGCTGACCCATCATTCTCTTCCTGGCAGGACAGTGCGGACACGAACGCGCATCAAACGTCACGACCAGGGCTCATCGCTGGAAGGCTGCAGCGTTGGAAAATTTCCAATTGTTGCACCAGCCGATGTGCTTGCGCTTAGGTGGACCGCCCACTGCGACTTGATGCGGCTGTAGATCGCGACGGGAAGCCTTGCTAGGCAAAGCTGAGATGACGACGACGATGACCGCCGTTCGTACAAGCAAGGGATTGGAGGTGTCAGAATACGAGGTCCAGAGTTTTTCACCCCGAGTCCGACCCTGCGGTCAGACCGATGACCTGTCCTTGGCCGATTAGCCGTTGGTAGACCTGATCGCCGAGTGCGCTTTGCTGACATTCTGGAAGCAACGCGCTACCAGCTGAGCAAATCTTTAGAGTCAGGCTTGACCTGTGCTGCCCCTTCCTACGTCATGCAAGTGCGCTGAGATGTGACAACCAAATGGACAGCGGTAGCACCGTTAGAGCATCTTGCGCGACTTGCCGAGATGCGACTCGCGCGCTCCGCGTCACGTCGCTCGCACGCCGTGCCACGCAAGACCAGCGGCTCCACCAAGCAAGATTGAAAAAGCTGGCGGACACCTGCACCACTGCGTGAGGACGAATGCGAACGCGGCAACAACGCCCCACCACGGATCTGATGTCAGGGGAGCAGATGCGCTGGTAGCAGCGGGATCGCCTTGCAAGGCCGGCTCTGCAGCCGGCTGGTAGATGTAGCCGACTGGAGCGATGTGCAAAGGGGTGCGTGTCAGCAGACCGAGCGAGCTCACGCCGTAGGTGGGAATGGAGGGAGCAGGCTCACCTAGAAAGAGCTGCCAGACGGCTGTGAACACGAGGCCTGTAGCTGCAGCATTGAGTCCGCGAAGCAAGCTGCGCACAGGATTCAGACTGCGCCAGCTCTTGTACAGGGGCAGCAGAGCGAGCTTGAGCATGATGCCAGGTGCAAAGATGGCTGCCCAAGCCAGGATTGCGCCCAAGAGGGGCCTGGAAGGGACCGCAAGGAAGCCGAGGTAGGCAGCAATGTTGAAGTTGGGACCGGGAAACGCCTGGAGGATGGCAAAGCCGAAGAGAAAGTCACGTGAGGTCACCCAGCCAGGATCCACAATGTAGCCGCGAAGCAGAGGGATGACGACAGGTCCACCGCCAAAAATGATGGAACCAGCAACAGCCATGTTGGCCACCAAATCGAGCTCGCGCGGAGCCGAAGCCCCTTCGACTCCTTTTTCTCGCAGCTGGGAGCGAAGCACGAGCACAACGATGAGGGAGCAGGCAAAGACGCTTCCAATGCTGAATGCGAGCCTCTTGCTTGGCACCAAGATGGGTCGCAAGGGCGGCGTATCTGTCCCTGACCATTGTGCTGTGCCTGTGCCTGTGCCTGCGCCTGCGCCAACGCTGCTGCTCTCGGACCGCAAAGCAGGAGGACGATCAGCGCCGTGGATGCGTTGACGCTGTCTCAGCTCGGGGATAGCGGAGGTCTGCGTGATCGAGTGCGAGTGCAGCGACGTGCCTTGCAGCTCCATGTCCGCTCCAGAGACCTGGGCCGCGGTCGACGCATCAGGCGCCGAGATGGAGTCTTGACGGCGGGGCCTGCGACTAGCCCACTTGCGTCGAGCCGTTCGAATGCCGCGGGGTGCGTAGTCCGTTGCCAGACCAGCCAGCCCGCCGAGAGCGATCAGCACGGGGTACATCCACGGCGCGTGGTAGCATATGCCGGCTGATGCGCTCGTGAGGACGATGAGCCTGGACGGCAGATCGGTGATGGCGGTTTGGGCCAATTGCCAAGCTGCCAAGGCGATGAGACCGACTGCAGCTGCGTTGAGGCCGGTGAGAAAGGCTAGCAGGATGGCGGGCAATCGATCTGGCAGATTGCGCACCCCAGCAGCCAACGCCGTCATCCCGATGGCTCCCGGCAAGCTGCATGGTCGTCGTGGGTGCGGTGCGGTGCGGTGCGGTGCGTTGCGTTGCCGCTAGCTGGGTCAGTCATGCGCCCTGAATGGGCGTGGGGCCACCAATGAGCCACGGCAATCACCGCTCGCTCACCTCCACAGCAAGAAAGCCAGCAGACCGCACAACGAGCCACCGCGCACGACGGCGATGGAGAATGCCAGCTGTGTGGAGCCAGGGCCGGGTAGGGCATTGCCCAGCGCAAACAGATCCGTAAACAACGTGTGGTCCACCCACTTTAAATCCTCGACAAACAGCTTGCGCAGGATGACCACGTGCACGCCAGGCCCACCAAACGCGGTGAAGCCGAGCGGTGCGTAGCGTCGAAGCGTCTCTACCAGGCGATGGGAAAGCTTGGGAAGCGCGAGCGGTTGTGGGAGCGCGGACAATGAGTTGACGGGCTGGGACGTCTCCTGACCATCGTCCATCCAGCTAGTTTGTCTTTGCTGCTGCTGCTGCTGCTGCTGGGCGACGGTGAAGACGCTTTGAAGCGTCGCGGTGGTCGACATGGTGATCAAGGTGCGCCAGGCGTATGAAAGATCACGCTGGTGTGCTTCAATGGTCAATGCATCAACGCTTCGTGTGGTCCGCGACGCGCTCGAGCACAGCAAGCGGGGAGGCGATGGTAGCAACACCGGAAAGGTGGGTCGATGATCCGCGGGCCTGTGAGCGATACTTGTGATGGCAAGGACGGACGGATGGATGGATGGATGGAGGGTGGGACACGAGCAAGCAACGAGACTCAAGACTACTCAAGACTAAGATCACGTGAATGCCAAGCAAACGCAGACCTGCGGGAGGTGCATGCATATTCGTTCAGGATTCAGTCTTGAGTGCGAGCGAGCGGAAGAACAGCAGCAGCAGCGAGCGACATCGGCACAATCCACATCGAAGAAGGCCGCGCTGGCTGACGGCTGCGGGGCGAACGGTCAGTCAAAAGCGGAGGTGCAGGAAGGCGAGGCGGGGGCGGGGGCGAAAGAAGAAAGCCAAGCCAAGACGGAGATGCGCGTTGCGTTGCGTTGGCTTGGTCAGGCTGGAAGATCTTGGCTTGCAGACTGCGGACTGCGGACTGCGGACTGCGGACTGCAGCAGACGGCAAGCCACGGGACATCTTCTCGCCTATGCGGACACTCGTGACTCGTGACTATCGAGCCATCAGCCAGCCAGGGCTGCCATGCGGTCAGTGCGTCTCACAGCCAAGCAGATCAGCGAGCTGTCGGCGTGAGTGTGAGTGGTGAGTGAGAGTGGATCGTGAGCGCATCTCGCACGCAGCCTCTCCATCGCTAGGGCTGCGAGACCGACCACCCAGGCTCACGACTCTTTCACGATCACGGTCGCACACGCACACGCACGCGCACACGCTCTTGGCATCAATCTGATCGATCCTCACTCAACCTTCTTCCTCGCGCGCAGAAAGATGAATCAGTGCGTGTTGAGTGCGAGTGCGAGTGCTTCGAGTGGTCAAGCACGCCCATCGACGAGCGTTGAAGCGCGCGACGCTGGGTCAGGCCGGCGACGCTCTCGCTCTCGCTCTCGCTCTCACTCAAACTCTCACTTCTCGACTCATGCAACTTCTGATCAGCATAGTTTCGGACACTTTTGAGTCACGAGCGAGTATTTGCTTCTCAGCTTGACTGTCCGCCCAATTCGCCGACTGATTGGCGGAGCGGGTCAATGCGCGCCATGGGTGTTGCGTCCTGATTTTCGCACTCCGCTGCTGCTGCTGCTGCTGCTCAAAACTTTTCGACTCGTTGCTGCCGAAGCATCCATCGCATCGCATCGCAATCAGCTCACTGAGTCACGAATCACGAGTCTGGATTGGATGGGCGAGAAGGCGCCCGCGGCATCTAGCCAGCCTTGTCCGATCGTGTGCACCTCGGTGGCGGGGCACTGCATCCGCAACCGCATCGCTGTACGGTACCCACGACTGTAATCTCCCCTCGAGCGGTGTTCGCTCTGCTCGCGGGTCTCTTGTAGCCTCTGCTTCTCCCACGCTCGCTCGCTCGCGTGCACGCACCACCATCACTCAAAACTTGCTTGGCTGCATGCATGCCTACCGGTATCTGATGGATGGAAGAGGCTACAGCATCGATCACTGCCCGCGCGGCGCGCTCCACGAGGTCGAGTGTGAGTGAGTGCAGAAGGCACGCGCGCGCGTGCAGGAGCAGCACCAGCCATGCATGCAGCCAGCCAGCCAGCCAGCCAGGTCCCCCCTTGCCGCCGTAGCTCGGTCATCGCGCCAAAACAGCGGTTCAGCCGCGAGTCGCGAATCAAGCAGAGCCACGCCGCGCCGGGCAGCAGGCAGCAGGCAGCAGGCACACAGGCACACAGGTACACAGGCACACGCCTGCGGGAGGAGAGAGGGACGCACGCTAGTCCTGCGTGCGCGTGCGTCCATCCAAATTGCTGGTCCTGCATGCCTGCCTCCATCTCCTTTCGCAAAGCTCACACCGCCAGACTGCCTCGATCAATCACGAATGTTGCAGCTCAGCAAGCACCGTGCATGCAGGCAGTCACGACTCACGAGTCACGAGTATCGCTGAACGATAAGAGGCCGCGGGTGCGCAGAGGTGGAGCATGCAGCAGCAGCAGCAGCAGCAGCAACGGCGAATCTTCCAAGATCAGATACCGCGCGCACCGCACATCCCCGCCCCGCCACCCCTTGCCGATGCAACAATCGTGATTCGCCTTTCGTGATTCACATTCGCGATTCACATTTGATTGCCTTTGCGGTGTAAAAGTTTTTTGCGCGGCGAGCATGATTGCCGCTCGCCGCTCGCCGCTCGCCACTCGTCACTCACACACCCGTCACCTGTCACCCGGCCACCCTCGGGCAACGATGCGCGGGATGCAAAGTTTTTTGTTTCGCCCGCCCCCCCTTCCCGCTGTCCAGATGCTGAATTGATTCGGGGTCGGCGAACTGTGACTGAATGATTTGATTGAGCAATTCAGGGGATGCGAACAATCATGCGTGCAATCAGCGACAAGGATGGTGCGGTTCGACGAGTCCATAAATACGTGACTCCAACTCGTCTCGATGGCGAATGGTGATGCCACGTAGATTGCCATTGCCCTGTCCCCCATTCCCTGTCACAACCGCTTCCCCTTTCCCCTTCCCCATCCCCTTCCCCCGCTTGGCGCTCCATCATCATGTCGCGACAAGAGCCTCACGCTCCCATAGCGGAGATTGAGGCGAATGCCCCAAGCTACGACTACAACGAAGCATCAAAGCAGCACAATCACCATCACGATCACGACACGCCTTCCAAGTCTGCCGGTAGTCACAGCGACGATGATGGCTCCCTGCACAGCCGCGATGCGCGAGAAGAGATCGTCGCCGAAGAGGGCGCGCAAGGTGTGGCTCGCGCCGAAGCTTTCACCCGGCTCTTGCGTTCTCACAAGCGTGGCAAGGCGCTGCTTTGGCTGCTCGGCATCCTCATCTGGTGCACCATGTTCGTCTACGCTCTCGACAATGGCCTCACCGGCAACATCTTTACGCCCATCATCGGCTCGCTGTACGGCAGACACGCGCAGATCTCGGCCGTCACTACTGCGAGTAGGTGAGTAGCGACCCGCGCGCACACGGCACTGATGCTCATGCTCCCCAACCCCATCGCTGACGCTGGCTGTCCTCCCCTCCCCCCCCTCAAAAAGCATCATCGCTGCCGTCTCCAAGCCTTTCCTCGGCAAGATCTCCGACTACACGTCTCGCCCATTCACCTACTCCATCACCCTCTGCTTTTACTGCGTTGGCTTCATCGTCGCTGCCACTTCCGAAACTTGGGCTGCCTACATCATCGGTTTGTGCTTCACCTCTTTCGCCAAGGCCGGCATCGACTTGTTGGGCGACATTATCATCAGCGATCTGACGCCGCTACAATGGAGGCAGTTCTTCACATCCGGCCTCACCTCTCCTTACTTTATCACGGCATACATTGGCGGCTTCATCGTCGATGGCCTAGGCATCACCGACGCAGACTACGGTCAGTGGCGCTGGGCTCTGGGCATGTTCTGCATCCTCATGCCCGCCTTCCTGGGACCCGTCATCGTGCTCCTATTCGCCTTGCAGCGACAGGCAGCGCAACTCGGCATGATCAGCATGGGAGCTTCCGGCATAAAGCGTCGCGGACAAGAGTCGACGACGCGCGGTCAGACGACTTGGCAGATCATCGTCGCAGCTTCCATCAGTATGGATCTGGTGGGATTGCTGCTTTTCGCCTTTGGCTTCGGCCTCTTGCTGCTGCCATTCAGTCTGGCCAAGGGTGCGCAAGGCGGATGGTCCAACCCGAGCATGATCGCCATGGTCGTCGTCGGTTTCGTCCTGCTGGTCATCTTTGCTCTTTGGGAGCAGTACGGTGCGCCGGTGCCGCTCGCGCCGCGACGCGTCCTTCGCAACCGCGCCTTCCTCGTCGCAGTCCTCATCGACTTTTTGGCGCAATTCGGAAGCTTTGTGGCGTCCATCTACTTTAGCTCCTACATCTACGTCACTCAAGATCTCACCGACTACCAGTGGACAGCACTCACAGCCACCACCACCGTCGGTCTCTGCTTCTTTGGCATCCTCAACGGCTTGCTCCAGCGCCGCTTTCACCGTTTCAAGGCTCAAATGCTGTTCGGCAGCGTCGCCAAGCTCATCGGCTACGGTATCTGCATGACCGCTGGCAACCGCGCCACCACCAACCTTGCCGCGCTGGCCATTTCGCGCATCTTGATCGCCATGTCCGGCATGATGGTCGGTGGCGCTCGGCTAGCCTCCCAGTGTGCAGTCGCTCACAGAGATCTGGTCACTACGATCTACACCGTCTCGCTCATCTCCAGCGTCGGCAGCTCTGTGGGCAGCTCGGTCTGTGCGAGCATTTGGCAAAACAGGATGCTGACTTATATGCGCGAAGAGATTCCTGCCACGGTGCCCGACGCGACGATCAGGAAAGTGTACGCCAGCATCAAGACGCTGCGCTCTTACCCGCTCGATGACCCCATCCGAATCGGAGGGATTGCCGCGTACCAGCGTGTGCAAGGGATCATGTTCATCGTCGCCATCGTCGTCAGCGCTGCAGGTGTCATCATCACCTTCTTCGTGCCCAACTACTACCTCGGCACTCAACACAACCACGTCAGCAAGCGGGATCTCGACGGCAACGATGTGGGCGGTCCTGTGGTGCGCGACACTTCCAACGAAGCGCCGCCGACCACGTCAGGCCAAAAAGCCTGGCGCGCCATTCGAGACGCGTGGGATTTCCCTCCTCGCAAGCCCCTCGCCGCCTAGATGCATTCTTGTATGGCTTCACTCCATCTCGTTCTTACGTCACTCTTGAATGTTCAAAACCGAATGCGATGATTACTGAATGTTTTGATTACCGAGTGCAAGCCAAGACCCGCCGGCCTCTCCCGCGTATCCTGCTAGATCGGGTGCCAAGTCATTCACTGATTTCAATCTACGCTCGTTGACGAGCGTCCGCTGCAAAGCGCAAAGTAGACCCTCGGCTATAAGTGACTTCGGTGACCTGACTCGCTCGACGCTGAACAATCGTGAATTGTGGGAGTCTCGAGTTGAGCAGAACATTCTGTGGAAATATAATGATTTGGAGCAGCTCTGGATCAACGTGTGTGCAAGTCGACCGGAAGCAAAGAACGTTGGCCCTGGTGTGTGCATTGGACCTACCTGACGTGTTTCATACACACTTCCCAAAGCTCGTCACTCGGACAACAGATTGTAAATACGCAGGATCCATACGAACGAGCACTCACACATCTTGTCATCACTCGCAATGCATTACCATTCGCTGGCGTAGTGCAACAGGTCAGGTTGCGGCCGCCTACTGGCAGCGTCACATTCCAAGCGGCACTGCTGCGAGCCTGTCACGCGCTAGTATCTTGCGCTCCCTCCACCGAGGTGTGTGCGCCCAAAGCAAGTCATTCCTGCACTTTGACTTCTATCGCCATCAGGCAAGCCACCTTTCGCTGACTGTCCATCGCGCTGTGCAACGACAGGAGGGGCCTTGCGCTTACGCTCCCTTGATGCGCCATCTTACACCAAGTTGAGGCCCTTGCGCCGAGCAAAGCAGCAGTAGGACATTTCGACACTGCACCCAAGATGTAGCCCTAGACGTGTTGCCTGAATAACTACTCTTGCTCAAGCTCAATATGTCTTCTCACGCTCAGCGAAGGGAGACAATCATGAGGCGCAGTTGTCTTAACCGCCAAACGTACACCAGTAAAAAGGCTTGGTCTACGACATTTCACTTCCGTAGGCATTGTTGCGTACTCAGCCAGGGATTGCCTTCTTGATGGACAGTGTCCCTCCGCTCCTACTGATGCGCGTGTATGCGTACTCGCTGACATCGTTATATCTTGCGGGCAAGCCATTTGCCCACTAATCTGCCCAATGATAAGTAGATCAATGGCTTGCCCATGAAAAGGGGTAGAGACACAAAGACGATCAGAGTGCGAAGGCAGAGCGGAAACCAAATATACATGGTCTTTGACAGATGATACTATTGAGTGCACAGTCCCCTTTCCTGCATGAGGCATCTGAACGGTCAGAATAGCGCACAGGCCTCCTCTCTATGCATGTATATAAGTCTCTTCCAGTTCCTTCAGTCAAGCCCCCACTCGCTATGAATTCGATCTCTTCTCACAACAGATTAAGAGTCTGTAGCTCAGACCCTGACCCCGCTCAACACCGTACCCAAAGCTCAGCAAACAACAATGTCACTCAACGAGGTTTCATTCAGCAAGGTGCCCGTCCTCAAGGGATCGGCAGATTTCTTTAGCTGGCAGAATAGGCTTGAGGCAGTCTTACGCTCGGAGAAAGTGTGGTACACGGTTGAGGGGACCGTGC